GGGGTATTAGTTTTTCGTTGGGATGGTCTGCGGTGTTTTGGTGTGAGAATGTGCACACGGCGTTCTTGTTTTTTAGATCTGTTTCTAATTACTGTTTGAATATGTTGATTTTTGTGTTTACTATGTTGTTTAGGTGTTGTTTGCCCATGTGGGTGTTTTGTGTGTGTACTGTTTGGAAGTGTGCTCCTAGGATATTTAGCTTGTCTGGTTGGTTGTCTATGATGTAGTTTCCTTTGTTGTCCGTGTTTAGTGTTGATGTGTCTATGTCTGCCTTTTGGAGTAGGTTTGAGTGTGTTGGAATGGTTAGGGCGTCTATTTGTGTGTGTTTTCTTGGTTTGAATAGGCTGTTTATCTGTGGGAACATCTCCTTGGAGTTTTTTAACGATATGTTGTTTATTTTCTGTCGCCAGTAACTGTTTACCGATGTTTGGAATTCAAGTTTTATCAGGTATCTCGTGTTCTTGAGCAATTTTTTTAAGTGTGCGACTAGTATGGTGTTTGTTTCGTGTGTGGTTTTGTGTCTAGTGTGATTGTTTAATAGTGTGAGTATTCTGCTTTTTTGTTTTCTTAGCTGTTTTATTTCTGTGTTTATGAACTTTTCTGTTGAGTTTGTGTTTTGTTTGTATATTGGTATTGTGTGTTCTATTGCTGTGCTTATGTTGTGGTTGATGGTGTTGATGTATGTGTCTATTTCGTTTGAGTGTAGATTCCGGGTGTTAGGTATGTTTATGCGTGTGATGTTTAGTAAGTGTTTTTTAAACTTAGACCAATCAGCCTTGTTAAAATTATGTTTGCCGGTTCGGTCGTTTTTGTCGAAGTCTATGAGTGGCGTGTTGTCTAGTTTTATGGTCATAGTCAGTGCTCTGTGATCGCTGTCGTATTTGAGGCTGTCGATATTATTGTTAATTAAGTTTGTGTACTGTATTCTGTTGTCTGAGGTGGCTACGTCTATGTAAGAATTTCCTTTGGGGTAGGAGGCGGTGTTTGTACTTTTTATGTCTATTCTGTATTGTAGCTGGTTGTCTGATATCCATCTGTGGAGTGTGGTGCCTCTGTTGTTATTTATGTTGTTCCCCCAGGATGTGTGCTTGGCATTTAGATCCCCTGCTATTAAATAATAGTGATCTAGTTTATCTAGTTGAAGTTTATGAAAGATTTGCTCCAGGGCCGGTATGAATTCTCTCTTACCCGTGCTGGAGGCGTATGCGGCAATAAGGAAGAATTTTTTGTGTTTTTGTAGTGTTGTAGTGTTTGTAGTATTATTGTGTATTCTAGTGTGTTGTCTTGTGTTGTTGTGTTGATTTTGATTTTATTGTGTTTGATATCTTTGCGGATAAGGATGGCTATTCCCCCACCCTGTTTAGAATTTGGGCGGTCGGTCCTGATCATTTCATGATTTTTGAAGTATAGTTGGTGGTTTTGGTTGAGTTTTGTCTCGCAGAGGAGCATAAAGTCTGGGTTTTTTTTGGCAATAAATTCCTGCAAAGTGGCTCTGCGCTCGTTTGTGATAATGGAATTTACGTTTATGGATATTACTTTTATGTTCTCTATGATTATTGTATTAGTTCGCGGTGTATTATGCATTTTCAAGGTTTAAGTCTAAGAAATCTAGTATCGTTATTATTTTATTTGAAATTTCCTGTATTAGTGTGG